TCGCCGACGCCTCTGGTCGCGGGCTCCTTCCACTTCGCGTCTCCGGCGCTCGGCTACGTTGAGCTGACGTCATACGAGCCTTGGGAAGGACACGCCGAACCAGGGACATTCGGAGGCGAGTTTCCCTTTGTTTTTATCCGGCGGAATTATGGATGATTTTTGCTAGCATTTGTCGTTTCGCATGTTCTGCCAGGAAGAGTTTGATTTACAGATCATTCACGATAATGACCACAAGCATTCATATATTATAAACCCACTAGATCCGAGTGCCTCACTGCCCACACGTGGCGAACAAATACGGGCATTTAACTTACTTGTTTGGCGAAACTCAGGTGGCTTGTAGGCCCGGCTCACACGAACGCGCGTTTTCTTTTCTTTTTTCATTTTTGTCATGTCCCAAGGTCTATATTTGTCAATCCTTGGATAGACTCAACATGATCTCTCTAGGTATAACCTTTAACTCTGTGAGTAGCAATAATAACATAGGACGACCTAGGAAGTCGTGGCTTGGGCTCGAATTTGGCCGTCCCTGCCTGGCGGCTCGTCAGAAGTTCTCGCAGGTGGAAGCAAAGGGTGGATGCGTGTGTGCGCATGACGATGATATATTATACACACACACACACACACACACACACACACACACACACACACACACACACACACACACACACACACATATATATATATATATATATATATATATATATATAATATATATATACATACATACACACGTTCACACATATACACACATACATGTGTGTGTGTTTATCTGTTTGTATGTATATGCACATATATGTGTATACATATTCATTTACAGATATATCTAGAACAAAGCAAAGGGCAGTCAAAACATATATACGGTCAGTGTATCAGAAGCCTGGACGTGTAATAAAAAGATTTAGAAGAGGATGGAAGCCTTTGAAATGCGGTGCTAACGAAGGGCTTTGAGAATATCGAATGAAGAAGTGCTAAGAAGACGGTGCTGAAAGAGAATTACTGGTGAAGACAAGAGTAAGTTAAGTGAGGTTGTAGGGCACGTAATGAAAAGGGGAGAGATGGGGGAACCTAAGCTGAACAGGAAGAATCCCAGGTCGCAGAGCAAGAGGCAGACAAAGGGAGAAGTACATGATTGGAATAAGAAGAACAGTAGGGTGTGAAAGCAAAGCTGCACAGATACTGCAAATGACAAGAGATAGAGAGGTGTGGCAATCCATGGTCGCCAACGTCAGCAGGGATAATATAGACACATACACACACACACACACACACACACACACACACACACACACACACACATACATATATATATAATAGATAATTCAAAGCGTAATCTCCCCGCCTCGATCTCTTTCCAGGATTCTTGAGCACTACCTGGTTCCGACTGGGATCTGCAGCCAGCGTCTCGCCAGACATTTTCTTCCCTGTCGTAAACAGTTCCACTCTTTTCGAGATTGGCGGTAAGTCCTTTTTTTCTCAGTAGGAAAAGAGGGAAACTGGGAGGAAGGGGGGAGAAAGAGAAGGAACTGGGAAGGTAAATGGAGAAGAGAAGGGATAAGAAAGAAAGGGGAAATGGTAGTTATCTAATTGCTCAAAATGGTTAGTTTGTAAAGAAATCATCAGTGATTGATTGATACGTTTTTGTTAGCAGAGGTTAACAATTATAACATTGATAACAACTATAATAGAGGCGGCGTTGTGAAAGGTGCTAATGAGGATATTAATTACGATAATACTGGTAGTGGTAATGATAATAGCAATAGTGATATTAGGGGTATTATCAGAATAGAATAGTAGCAGTTGTAGTAACAATAATAACAATGATAAAAATGGAAATTATGATAGTAGCAAAATGTGTTTTAGAATATACGTATATTTATGATAGACAATATATTTTCATAGGAACATACTGATATATCTTGTCAGTTCAAATAGACAGACATAACGAGTTAGATATTTATTTGTCATTCATTTACATTTCATCATAATCGCATTTGCAATATGCTTCATTCACGTCACTGGATTTCAACTCCCCAAACCCACAGTTCCAGTAAGGTGTGATTGCCAAGTAGCTTGGATACGATTGTCGACCTTCCTGCCTCGAACAACCATCCGATGCGCCACCGAGACTTCCTTCGTCGCGCTGCCAGACGTCGATGAAGCTGAATTCAGGGACTGCGGCTCCAGCTGCACCGCCCGAGGCTCTCCCGCTCGGCAATCAGGAGCTTTCACAACACCTCCGACAAACGGGATTGAACGATTTTGATTGTGTCTGGGATAATCACTGTTTTTTCGAAGGATTTAGGATATTTCTTTGATTTCCGGAATTCGACTTGTCATGGTCGTTCTCTAGAGAATAATTTACAAATTTATGATAGTTATCCATGGGATTTTGTCTCTAAATGAAATCTATGGAGACAAGTTGTGGGTTATAATTCACCTCATTATTCACTTTATATAATTCTTGTATCTAATTTGGCAAATAAAGTCACAATCAGCACTAACGTCTAATCCCTTATCACACAATACACAATATTAACCTATTCAATATTTGCGGTCGAAAAAAATGTCCATATTATTAATAAAATGGAAGAATCTTTCAACTTATGAGAACAATAATATAAGATATAATAATCTAAATATACTAATAATGATGATGATAGTAATGATAGTGATAACATTAAAAATAACAAAAATAATTTCAATAACAAGAGTAGCAGTAGTAATAAGAATGACAATAAGAATGATAATGATATTGAAGATGGTAATAATAATGCATACAATTTTCAATACAAAAGATATTTTGCCTTCATGAAAGACTTTTCTCAAAATAACAATCATAATAACGCTAATAGTAGTAATAATAATGATAATGATTTTCATAATGATAATGGCAATAATAATGATAGTAACAGTAATAGCAATTTAATAATAATGATGATGATGATGATTGACTGTAATAACAACGATAATGTAAATGATGAAAACAGTAGTAACAACAACAAGAATAATCAGTGATGAAATAATGATAATGATAATAATAACTAACAATAACAATAATGATAATGACAACAATAATAGTAATGCTAGTAATAATGATATGACGACAACAACAACAACAATAATAATGATAATAATAATAATAATAATAATAATAATAATAATAATAATAATAATAATAATGATAATGATAATGATAATGATAAATAATAATAATAATAAGATAAAATAGCAATAATGATCACAGTGGACAAAAATAGAAATAATGATAGTAATGATAATGACAATAACAGTAATAACAATAATAATCGTAATAATGACAATAATAAAAAAACGGTGTTCATTGCGATGAGTATAGAAAACACGATTGGTATGGAAAATATAATCGAAAGCGGTTAGACATCTTACACTGTGAAGATATTAATTCCCATCCATATATTTTCAAATAATAATAAAAAGTACTATACACTAGAGAATAACTATTATATCAAGCGCATCACAAGCTTATTTGCAGTTGTAAATTAACAGGAGAAAATTATTTACTTGAATGTTTATTTGCAATGCCACATTTTTTTTTTTTTTTTTTTTTTTTTTTAAGTTCGTGGGCGGAACATCGGCGCTGTCACGTGTACGAAAACTAAAGTCGTGTAGGGTAATTTTCTATATTACGTCCGCATAACCGATATCGACGATTTTGGTATCGTTGGATTCCTCTCACTTTATACAATGCAAATATGTAGGTTTTATTGCGCGGAAACCCCTTGTTAGCGATAAACTTGGCCCCGATAGCGGGGGCGACGATGTCGGAGCGGCGGACGTAATATATGAATTTACCCTAATAATATAATCTCACAGTGAAAATAATCATTATTCACATGTCTTTCCATTGCAGGGGGCTGTGCTCCCTGCGACCCCCCCTAGGGGGAGCAGCCGCCCCCCAACCCCCGCCGAGGAAACAAAACCTCCACCACGTATTCACGGCAGGATAGAGCGCACAGAACTAGATGCGGAGCCGATAACCTACAATAACCTAGGATTTTTAAGGTACTAACAGGCTTTCTCCCGACAGAGGAGGCCGTGGGGGAAGCACATCTCTTGCATTTTTTCCTGGCTAGTTGCAATTTTGCGCAGAAAAACCGTCTCCGAATACGAGCACCCTCCACACTCGGCCATCGCGGCGGCTATGACTGACTTCTGAACGCGACGGTTATTTCGGTTAGGAATACGGATGTCGTTATTCTAGTGGACGGGAAACTCGACCTTGAGTCCATCGGTGTAACATCGAAAGAGGCGCAAAACCCGCCGACGAGGGCGGGCCAACCTGTTCAGTTATGTGAATAACCATGGTTATTTTCACTGTGCGTTATATTATTAGTGCTATTTAACCCCGCATTTTCCTTGGAACCTTTCATGCCCTCCCCTGCTATCGGAGCCAAGATTGTCGCTAACGGGATGTTTCCGCGCAATAAAAACTATATATTTGCAATGTGGAGAGTGAGAGGAATCCAACGATACCAAAATCGTCGATATCGGTTATACGGACGTAATATAGAAAATTACCGTAATGAAATTTAAACAGTTGTTTATCACCCATTTACCAACACTGACAAGTTGTTACTTATTTCATGTTTTATTGAACCCTTTGAGCCTAAAAATAAAGGTTAGACCTTTCTGGTTTAATATATACCCTTTTCACATTTCACAAAAAAAAAAAAAAAAAAAAATCTGGTAAATATTCCTTAAATGGCCAAATGAAGCATTGCAAAATAGAACAAGAAATATTTGACATTTTAGTAATTCTGCGGTGGATACCGCATGAATGTTGATGACTTCATTTAATGGATAGGTTGGTACATGGGTGTAGGAGCTTCAACTTGAAATTACACGGAATTTTGAAGCAAACAACTTCAAGGAATTGCAGATAAAGCCCCGATTTAGCTTATCAGTCACTAGGTGATTCAGCTTCATGTTTAATTAATTCTTAAAAATTAACTGAGGTTATCACATCTTGTAAAATCTTTATTTGAAGCTTTAGATGTTAGGAACAGTTTATAAGGAGTCTTGCAGAGGAGGCAGAAGGCCATTTCTTAGTAAATGACCTTCGTCCTGCATACCAAGCCTTGAGAAAGCTGAACTCCAAGCCCTGTTCACAGGTGACTGTAGCTCGCTTAGTGGGTGGCCAGATCATCTCAGATCCTGTTGCCGTGCGGGAACGTTGGGCTGAGTATTTTGAGCAGTTGTACCAGGGTGACCCACCAACAGTTAACTTGGATGCGGGTAGTGCCGAGACTCCGTTGCCGGGCCCACCCGTCAGTGAGGATGCTCCCTCTCTAACCGAAGTTAGGGGGGCAATCTCCAAGCTGAAGAGTGGTAAAGTAGCGGGTATATGCGGGATCCCAGCTGAGCTGTTAAAGGCTGGTGGTGAACCTATGGCGCGAGGGTTGCATGTTGTCCTGGCTGCCATCTGGCTGTCTGGTACTGTTCCCCCTGACTTGTTGAGGGGTGTGGTCATCCCTCTCTGGAAAGGGAAGGGGGACCGTTAGGACTGTAGCAATCACCGAGGCATCACACTGCTCAGTATACTAGGCAAGGTTCTTGTCCACATCCTTCTGAGACCATCCATCAGAGACCACCAACTGTGGCAGCAGATGCCAGAGCAATCGATTCACTCCTGGAAAGTCCACAATAGACCTCATCCTAGCGCTTTGAGTCATCATAGAGCGCCGTCGTGAGTTCGGGCGTGGGCTGCTTGCAGCCTACATCGACCTCAAGAAGGCGTTCGATACGGTGCATCGGGAATCACTCTGGGCGATCTTGAGACAGAGGAATTTCAACAAGGATTATTGCACTAATATCGTCTGTATACTGGTACTGAAAGTGCAGTAAAGTGTGGTGGGGGCCTGTCAAATTTCTTTCCTGTTAGCTCAGGAGTGAGGCAAGGCTGTGGCTTCGCACCAACACTTTTCAACACTTGCATGGACTGGATACTGGGCAGAGCTACTGTTCAAAGTCATTGTGGAGCAACTCTGGGCAATATTAAGGTTACTGACCCTGACTTTGCTGATGTTACTATTCTATCTGAGTCTCTGGACTCCTTAGTGGTGGCTCTCGATGCATTTAGTAATGAAGTGAAGCCCTTGAGTCTAGAGGTCTCCTGGACCAAGACCAAGATCCAGGACTTTGGGGACTTAACTAGGAGAACCTGTTCAGTCGGTACGTGCTTGCGGCGAGGACATTGAAGTCACAGAGAGCTTTACATACCTTGGTAGTGTAGTTCAGAACTCTGGGCTGTCAGACCAGGATGTCAGCAGACGGATTAGCCTGGCAGCAGGGGTCATGAACTCTCTCGACAAGAGTATTTGGAGATGCCAGTACCTGTGCAGAAGGACCAAGCTACGTGTCTTCAAGGCCCTGATAATGCCAGTTTTGCTATAAGGTAGTGAAACCTGGACACTATCCTGCGCCTTGGAGTCTCGACTTGATGCCTTTTGTAATAGGTCCTTGCACCGGATCATGGGGTACTGTTGGCGGGACGATATGTCAAACCAACGGTTGCACTGTGAGAATGGCACAGGACCTATTGCCTGCACAATCCCTGATCGCCGACTCAGGCTTTACGGCCACCTGGCTCGCTTCCCACAGGATGATCCTGCCCTCCAGGTTGTCTCTGTTCGAGACAGCCCTGGGTGGAGGAGGCCTGTGGGACGACCTAGGAAGTCGTGGCTTGGGCAGATCAGTCAAACCTGTCGTGAGATGGGCCGAGTCTCTGCCTGGCGGCTTGCCATGAGGGACCCTCGCAGGTACAAGCAAAGGCTGGATGCGGCGATGCGCCCCCGTCGGCGTTAGCTCCGCGATGATGATGATGTTAACCTTCACAACGTTTGACGAACATTCATCCTGTTTTATTGACTGATGGTAAAATCTGCATCCGACCAAAGTCGCGGAATTGTATAGAATCGATTTTTATACGCCATTGTAAAATATAAAAATAGGCGGATTCCAGCTTACGCCTTTTAAAGCATCCACAGCTGTTTGCAAGGCTTCTCAGGGTGAACGAACTCGTTTCACCCTTCCCGCCAAGTATTATTCATTAAGACGTGATGAATACCCTTTTTATACTTTAATTTGCTATTATTTTATCAGTTCAGTTTTAATTGCGATGGTACTTTTGTTTGTGTATTTTTGTATGTTCAGCCCTGATTTTTACTTTGTTTAATATTAATTCTCCATGTTTAGCCATTACATATGTAATCAAAATCTACACCGTACCATAGTTAACATGTACTTGGAATTCTTTTTAAAATGTTAGGCATGTCGTTTTTCTCTCATATTAGAATTTTGAATTATTTCATTATAATTCTTTTCTGTTCATTTATATTTTCTTCTATATCAATACATGTTAAAACAAATTAAATTATTTTATTTTTATCAGTAATGAATTGGGATTCATCCTAAACGTAAAGTCACTCTGCCGAAATACTTTCTTGGAAGATAAGGTTT